CTTGAGCTGTTATAGTCAGATTGATAAATTTGATGCATTTTTTGAAAACTCACAAGGTAGGTAGTTCCCTGAGAGAATTGTCAGCACATTTATTACCATGTAACATTAGATCTCTGACACTTGTTGTCAGTGAAGCATAGCATGGTGGAGAAGGATCAACACTCAGAAATGAAGAGCCCTCAAATGTGGAAGGAATGATGGTAAAAAGGAAGCTACTTAACTTTGCCATACTCAGAGAGAAATGCAGCCCTCTGCCTGTCCTGGGAAAATGTTTTTAAGCACATGGCTTCCATATGGGAGTAATTTCCATCTCCTAATTAAGATCAGATTTATAAATAAAAGTAGAGGAAGGAAGTCAGCCTGACAAGGGTCTGATACCAAAAGCCAGGGTAAATGGGAAGTCTTTGAAGGATGGAAAATGAAGGTAGTTGACTTTTGGAAGGAAGTGGTTTAATAGGCCTTGTTTTGTCTGGGTTGTTCAGGAATCATTATAGGAGTGTTGCTTGAGACTCATTAGGGGTTTAGTTCTGACATGTTTATATGTAGAGAGAGGACCCCCCCAATTGGCAGTACCCCTGTTGTAGGTTAGGAAAATTTACCCTTAACCTCTTATGATATATTGCTTATGTTCTAGAAGCTTCCTTGCATGCCTCTTGGACAATAGGATTTAAGTGATACAAGCGTAAACATTTTCAAACGTTTTCAACCGAGAATTATGAAATGAAAAGAAAGGAGGGAGAGGAGGAATGGCTTTGGATTTCTGGGCCTTACTGGGCACTGGGGATCGAAACCACACCAGAAAAGCGAGGTGAAAGAAAGAGAGCGATTTCACCGACGGAACTGAAGTTCATTTGCTGTGTTTGTGCTGAAGTTTGTTCAGGGATCTTATTCAGTTTTTCACAGACCAGTTCATCTTACTTCTGCTAAAGTCACCCAACAGATAGTTTAGTTTTAATTAGAGAGAGAGAGAGAATATGATCTAGTTGAATTGTCAATACTTTGAGTAACTATTCATTCTTTAATGTTGTACATAAAAATACACAAAAACAGAACATAAAGACACAATGTGCCTATTGGTGGGTAACAAAAACAGTAAATTCAGACTTTCTCAAAGTGCGTTTGAGATTGGCATTACTGTCTTGAAGTTGAATAAACACAATTTACATTTACTATTTTAACTGAGTTCCCAGAGAGGTGAGACATTAAAAACCAAGACTACTTGCTTTCCAAATGCACACACACACATACACACACACACACACACACACACACACACACACACACACACACACACACACACACTGTATGTATGGATATATATGTGTACCTATACACACTCATGGGAATTAAAGGATAAAAATAGTCATTTAAGTTTGGGTGAGTAGGGAATTGGTTGTTCACCCTGTGTTATATTGATATCCTTCATTCAATTTTCAATACGAAAGGATTTTAGAATGGAAATCACATTTTAGACTTGCCAAAAGCACCTTTAAAATGAATATGAAACGTTCCTCTAGTCCTTTTTTCACTGTAAACAAACAGGGTGTGTGGGTGGATAGCTCTGTAAAGCCTCTCTCTGGCTCCTATTCAAATTTTTCTAATGAATCCATATACTGAATACAAAACACTCTGTGTGTGTGTGTGTGTGTGTGCGTGTGCGTGTGTGTGTGTGTGTGTGTGTGTGTGTGTGTGTGTGTACATGTCTGCATGCATCTGTGTAGTTGCATCTTAGAGAGGTAAATTACTGTTTTCTTATGGAATGGATTCTATTTCAATGCTAGAGGCAGGAAGAAAGAAAATGAGACAGCCTTTACTCAGGGCAAAGCTACTGAGTGAACTTGATGGTGAGAATAGAGCAAGTTATCCAATGACTTCCCGCTAAGTGCCCAAACTTCTAGCTGCCTTTCTCATCCCAGCCACATTCTCTCTTCTCTGCAGCCCTAATTTCCAAAATCAGAAGGGAAATTGAATAGTTATAGTATGGAGAAGGATATTCATTTTCTAGTGGTGAACTTCAAGCCTTGAATAGACTTAAACTCCAGTCAAGCCTCCCCATAAAGTTCTCTGATGAGTGAATTCAACCCGAAGAAGACAAGCATTTTGCTGATGACTGGGGCAAAGCAATACTAAACAGTACTCCTGCCTCGAATTCTGGGAGCATGCTAGGGAAATTAAGCCAAGCATCTCTTTGTGATTAATCTCCTTGCTGTAAGTTAGATAGGGCTACCGAATCTGCTACTGAGGCAGAGGTTGGGAAAGATACTTAAGCCAAACTAGGAACTTTTGAAAGAGTTCAGTACTGCCTGAGCAGAGGGGTCATCTGATACTATGTGAAGTTCACCCTTGATCTTTTAAGAGGTAACTTTAGAAGTCTTTTTTTTGGCTGAAACCAGTCTCTTTCCAGATGGTGCCTTTACACACCTAATGATCCTAGGCAACCGGATCTGGTGTCTCTCATGTGCTGCTCTTATTTCATGTATACTTCAAACTCATCAGATTGGTTGTAAATCTCTAGCTTCAAGTTGCACTTGATGTCAAGGGGCTTTCTGGTTTCATTTAGGTATGTACAGGGGGATTTGGTGTTCCGGTCTTTGAAGATGAGTGAATGCGGTTTGGACCTTCCACACCATGTAATACCAGAACATCTTAAGAATCTAAGGCTTCTATAGGAGACATTCATAGGAGAGAAAGAAAAAAAAAATCCTTTGTTTGTCCTCATGATTCATAATTCTGATTTGATGTATAGACAATTTTTTTTTGACCATACCAAATTCATTTGTCCTGAAGACAGACAGGTGACTACATATAGGTAAAGATATTAATGAATATCTTATGTATAGTGTCAATGAATATATGGTTACACTTAGTATTTTCCATTGTGAAAACATCTTTTAATCAAGGTCTAACAAACACCTGCTGTATGACAGACACTGTGGATTGGTTCTAGAGACTCAGTGTTGAAAAGGCAGAAATGTTCATATGCAGTTTCCATAATTATCTCTCCCAAATCACATCCTTATCAAAGGTTCTGAAAATTTCTGGACTCTGGATTCTTCTTTATGTCTATTTACAAATGTATGTTTTTTAATATGAGGTTTGTATGAACATGTGATTTATATACAGAAAAAGTGTACAAGTCAAGACTATAGTTTGGAGAATTTTTATCAAGTAAACATATCCATGAAATAAGCAGCCAGACCAAACAGCAGAGCGTTACAATGGTGTCTTTCTTTTTTGAAGCTCCTTCTTAGCCTTCCAGTTCATCTTCTCAACTACTTTTCCTGACTTTTGATATCATATGCTTATTTTGCCTTGTTCTGAACTTTATAGGTATAGAATCTGCCTTCATTTGCTCAATTTTATGCTTATATGATGCCTCTGAGTTGTTGTATGTGGTGAGGTTTATTTATTATCCTTACTAGTCCACTGTTAAATTGTATTATAATCCATTTGTCTAATCTGTTTTTTACATATTTGTGGAAAGTAGTCCTGATGTTGGTATTTTCTGGTTGGGGCTATTAAGATTCCTATATGCATTTTCTGGTGAACATTTCTACTGGGAATACACTCACGAGTGGGATTCTTAGGTCAAAAGTTACTCATGTATTTATTTACCTGGGCTACATGTCAACAAGTATTTTTCTAAGTGTTTGCACTAAATTTCAATCTCACAGCAGTGTATGAAGCCTGCCTGTCACTCCATGTTTTTGCCAAGCTCAGCATTATACAGACTGTCATTTTCATGTGCATTTTAAAGCAAAAAAAAACCAAAATCCAATAGTCACCAGGGTTTTGTGTGAGCAATGAGACATCATAAAGTTTCCAGCAAGTATGAATTCCTTAGACTTTCATTTGTGTCCATAATTCAGGATGACATCATATTGAATTTCCAACTCTGCTGCGCTGGTAATGAAATCAAAACCACTGTTTATACTAGAAAACTGGAACATGTTGGTTTTACTCTGGGGTTGAGCTTTTGTTAAACCAGCAGTAGCCGACCAGCTTTCCCCTCCACCTCCCCCCCACAAGGATCTAATGAGGAAAAGTAATATGAGGGTCCCTTACTTGAATTTCAAAATGAAAATGGCTTTATCAAGTTCTGTGAAATAAACATGCAGTTGGCTACGAGATGACACTCAATATCAACTGTAAGGCTAAAAGTGACAAAGTTGGAACAATTATAGGCCAAAAAAACCCCAAAAAACTTAATGCTGGGCCCTTGGAGCTGTAGGGAGGTAAATGCCATATTGAAATTAGCTTGCTGATCAGACTATAAAGGCAGGAGGAAGTGTAAATATAATGGGTCCAGGCCCAGGCCTGATGTAGGACAAATCCTAATTGGTCTTAGTAAAAACCCAGAGCCAGATACTGGGGTAAATGCTGAAAGATCAGAGAGACAAAGGAACAAGTCACGGCCACCTCTCACCTCACCAACTCCTCAGCTGAGGAGTTTGTTGCAGAGAGGAAAGGCTCAGCTGAAGGAGGGAATCTTAGGGGGGCGGGGACAAGGAAATGGCCTAGCAGGTGAAGGTGTTTGCTTCGCACACCTGGCCACTTGAGTTCAGATCCCCAGAATCGATAGAAAAGCCAGACACAGTAGTGCATGTCAGTTATCTGAGCATTCTTGTGGTAAGATGGGAGGTGGATATAAGAGAATCTCCTGGAAGCTCCAGGGCCAGCTAGCCTGGGGTATCCAGAGCATCAGCAAACAAGAGAGATCCTTCCTTAAGCAAGGGACAAGATGAGGACTACTACCCGAGGTTGTCCCTCTGACGTGTTTGCCACACACATGTTGTGGCAAACACGTGCCCTTACACACAAACATGTACACACACAGTACACACACACACACACACACACACACATACACACACGGAGCATATATATATATATATATATATATATATATATATATATATATATATATACACACACAATAAATATTTTCTAAAAGAAACTTATTCTTAGAAAGCTGTTGATGGTTTCCTTTTTCTTTTCAGTCTAAGGTTTATACACGCACACCAACCTTATATCTGGACTTCAAGTTGGACCAAGGAGCAAAGCATTCCCAGCCTATTCCTAAAGGTATGACGGGTTCTGGAATTTGGTAGCCATGTCAGAAAAGACAATGAAATCAAAGCCCAAGCTGCCGCTTTCTTGGGAATGCAAACGTCTGCCTGATCTTCTAGGAACTTTATGTTTAAATTTGCAAAGACTGCATGTGCACGCTTCCATAGACTAGGTAAGAAATCCAAAAGCTTGACACTTCTCCTGTCTGCTTTCTGACATACAATCAATGGGTATTTACAACTGCTTTTTTTTTTTGTTTTTTTGTTTTTTTTTGTTTTTCGAGACAGGGTTTCTCTGTGTAGCTTTGCGCCTTTCCTGGAACTCACTTGGTAGCCCAGGCTGGCCTCGAACTCACAGAGATCCGCCTGGCTCTGCCTCCCGAGTGCTGGGATTAAAGGCGTGCGCCACCACCGCCCGGCTACAACTGCTTTTTTATTTGTAGTTTCAATGACATTGGCTGTCTATATTCAGACATACTAGGCATCAACTTACACAGCTTGTATTTTACTATGAAGTTACTTAAATCAAGGTTACCTCTTCTCTCTTTGCTGTCGCCATTTTTCTAGGTCAAATTCCGTTACAGCTCCAAGAACTGTCTAAATTCATTTTATTTGGATGCTTTATTGCATCAAATATTCCTTGAAATGTGTGGCCCATTGGCTCTGTCCCAGACATGTTTGGTTTATCATATTTGATGGTGTTATTACTCATGGTAAAGTGATTTGACATGGATGTCTGGGTTGTGTTTGGCTTCTGGCATAAGCAGTCTAATTTAGTGTTGACTTGGTTGTGTCATTATCAGACTAACTGGGTAGAAATGGAAGCACACATTGCTACCATCCCACCTCTGATACCAAGAAAATGCCTGTGTCCCAAGGGAAACACAGTTAAGGAAGAGCCTGGATACATTCTTCCTGAACCCTACCAGGGTCTATCTGAATTCTTTCCCATAAATACCATTAGAATCAATTTTTACCATCTCTTTCTTTCCTTTGGGCTAGGCACGTTTCCATTGGGTTGTGCTAATCTCGCAGAAAACAGATGTTTCATGCAGTGGTGATTTGGAAGACAGTTGATATCAGGAATTGAGCCTGACGATGCATCATTTGCAAAGAATCCAATTCGTCGAGTTTTTGACAGTACTAGATTTCTTTTGCATTGGCCACACATTTTTCCCATTAGCTCTTGGCTAAAATAAGAATGAGTAGGGTCCATTTTTTGCATGGTGACTTTTAGCATCTCTTGCAAGGCAATCTGATTTTTCTTGCTGTAAACTGATGTGCCGACAACATTGTTATCATTCATCATGAAGGACACAAATTTGCATTTCTTGGAAAATTTCAGTCTTTCCAAGAAACTTATACCTTCTGATCTTCAGAACCCCTTTGTCTACTGACTATTTTCTCTATCTTTCTACATAGCATCTCTACTTCTGTGTACTTTAAAGCATGGTTTGGAGTGTGCTTATGGAAAACTTACGGTGTGGAAATTTTTTCATTCACTGAACATTTTCCTTCTTTTATAATTTTTCTTTATGGTGTAAATACATCGATAACAAAACTATCTTCAGACAATGTATAGTGTACCACTCTGGTAGGCAGAATAATATCCTCCCTCCCTTGGGATGTTCATGTACTAACTCCCAGGACCTGAAATTGTGTTACATGGCAAAGGGACTTTATAGCTATGTATGGTGGAGCTCACTTATAATTCCTAGCAACTGTAGGCAGGTTAAAGGTCATCCTTGGCTACATAGAAAATTTAAGGCCAGTCTAGGCTCCATGAGACCCTGTCTCAAAATGACAGCAAAAAAAATGCCATGTGTGTTAATGTAGACCTGTAATCATGGTAGTCAGGAGGTAGACACAGTCGCAGGAGAATCAGGAGTTCAAGGACATCTCACCTACATAGTGAATGCAAGGCCAGCCTGAGCTACTTGAAACTCTGTCTAAAAGAAAGGAGGAGGACTTTGCAGGTATGAGTAAATTAAGGCTCTTGAGATAGAGTGTTCTATGATTTCAACCTGTGTGGTGAAGGCTTGGTCCTCAGCCTATGTTGTTACTGGAGGGGAAAGGGGCAACTCTAGAAGGTTGTGCTTCGAGGAGGTTAGGTCTTTGGAGATGTACCTCTGAAAAGGACACCATGGCCCTGGATTCTCCTCCTCTCTCTTTCCCTTTTTTGTTTTGTTTTGTTTTGTTTTTTGGCTGCTATTAATCGAGACGCTTTGTCTGCCAATCGTATTTGCCATGTTGCACTACCTCATACAAGTCCATGGCCAACTGGTCATGGAATGAGTGAGACCTCTACACCATGAGCCAAAGTCCACTTTTCTCTTTTGAAGCTGATTGCCTTAGGTACTGCTCCAGGAATGGAGCCCAACTAATGAGAGGTTATTCTGGGCAACCCAGGCGGGCATGCTGTCATCATCAGCGTCTATGTAGATAAAAGAAGATATCAGGCAAGTCAGAGCAAGAGGAACTATGATGTAGAAGCACAGTGATGTCAGCATGATTCTTGCAGTGGGAAAATAAGATATCATCTGAAACAATGTCAGTATAAATTGGCTTCTGTGTTTGCCTTGGAATGAAGGAAAAAGGGAAAGAGCCACTTCTTTTCCATTCAATTTTAAAAGTAAAAGCCGGACGGTGGTGGCGCACGCCTTTAATCCCAGCACTCGGGAGGCAGAGGCAGGCGGATCTCTGTGAGTTCGAGGCCAGCCTGGTCTCCAAAGCGAGTTCCAGGAAAGGCGCAAAGCTACACAGAGAAACCCTGTCTCGAAAAACCAAAAAACCAAAAAAAAAAAAAAAAAAAAAAGTAAATTTCAATATTTGGTACCACATTAAGGTGTCTTTAGGGAATTATTTTTAATGTAGCTAATATGTTAGTATGAATTTTACTGTTGTAAAATTTTGCTACTGAAACTTTTCTTTTAGCATTTCCTAGTATGTTATTTTATTTCTTAATGGGACACTACATTATTTTTCAAAAGGATAACTAAGGTTTGTGGCACAGAAATATTTGGCCACAGCATTTTGCTTGGTTTTAGTGTATGATGATGATGATAACATATAAAATAAGTTGTTGAGGTAAGAGTATCAGATAATTCCTACCCCTAATCTCCAGTAACTCAGTTCATTTTTCATATTTTGGACTTTGTAATATTGAAACATCTTACTAGAAATACTAAACATTAATACCAGACTATATAGTTTATCTTTAGGTGAATCTTATTCAAGTACAAGTTGCCAATGTGGCTGTGTAACAAACCAACCTGGAACTTAGTGCTTTAAGACAATTTGTATTATCTCATACCATGGTTGTGTCCTCTGGCCCAGGCACTATTACAATGCTATAATAAACATGTCAGCCAACATTTTTGTCATGCTTAGCTGCACTGGGAGGGCGACACTTCCAAACTCATGCTGGTGTGATTGTTGGCAGGATTCACTGACTGGTCTCTGTTCCCTGCCACATGGGTTTCTTCATGGGATGGCTCACATGGCTTCTGGCTTCATCAAAACATGCATGTGAGGGAGAAAAAGAATGAACAATCCCAGAAGCAATGCTCTGTCATTTTTGCTGTACTAGCCAGAAGTAAGCCACCAAGTGCTGGCCACACTCAAAGAGATGGCTTTGGGTTGTTGTTATTAATATGACAATACCAGAAGGCAGGAACCATGGGATCATCATAGAGTTCACCACTGTGCTGGTTTGTTTTAACTGTCAATGTGCCACAACCTGAAATCACCTGGGAAGAGAGTCTTAATGATAAGTTATCTAGATCGGGCTGGTCTGTGGGCATGTCTGTGAGGAATTGTCTTGATTGTTAATTGAAGCGAAAAGACCCATCCTGAATGTGAGCAGCACCTTTCGTGGGCTGGGCCGTGAGCTTTGTAAGAACAAAAAAAGCTAGCTCAGAGCAAGCAGGCAAGCAGGCAAGAAGGCAGACAGGCAGGCAGGCAGCATAAGTGTATTCATTTGTCTTTGGTCTTGACTGGCTGGGTGTGATGAGATTAGGGTTTTAAGCTCCAGCCTTTGTAACTTCCTTGAAATGATGACTTATAACCTGGATTTGTAAGCCAAATAAACCCTTTCTTCCCCAAATTGCTTTTGGTCAGGGTATTTTATCACAGCAGCAGAAATGAAATTAGAATTAGAGCAATCATAATACAGCTTCTGCTTCTCTGCTAAGTGTAACCCAGTTTTCTTATGGCCAGTGGCCAAACAATGAGTAGTGTTTTCAACTCCCTCTAATTTGTGACTCTTTTTCATAATGAGTCTGGAACCCAGAACCTCATGGATGATAAACAATTGCTTTACCACTGAGCCATATCCCCATCTCATTGTGATGTTTTTAATGATTTGAAAAAGCCTAGAGAAACACATGATTGGGGGGGGTGTCTCAGAGTTCTTGACCTGTTTTCTAACAGTGTCTCTGTTGTTAAGGAGGGGCCCCAATCATGAATAGTATATGTAGAATTGTAGGTTGGAAGGAGTTGTTAAAGAGAAAGTGTGATTTTTGTTCACTACATCAAATATTCAACTTGTCTTGTGGCATGTCTATAAGGGGTCGTCTTGCTTGTTAATTGAAGTGAATTAAGTATTCTAATGCACTATTACTAGGTAGAGAACTTGGCAAAGTGCTTAGTAGTACATTAGAATACTTGATCTCAGCTTCCCTCATAATTATGATACACATTTAACAGTTTTGGATATAAATCAATTAGTCTTCCAAGCATTGATGAACATGAATCAGAGGCAGTTGTAAACTTATCCAGCAAGAAATTTTAAATTATTTTACTTTAGGTGAGCTGTGTGTCCTTTTCCTACTGATTTGTAACAACTCTGTGTGTTCTGAGTTCTAGTCATCATCATTTACATTATAAATATCTTCTCCTTTCTACCTCTCATTTTCTGTACTATTTCTATACTGTAATAAATAAAAAATATCTTGAGTTTACAAATCTGTTCCTTAATGGTTAGTACATTCTTTGGTTCCTTTAATCATCATTTCC